AAAGCTGGTGACATGGTTTTTTGTTACTCTCTACCTCCCCGGAAAAAAAAGAAGAAAAGAAGTTATTTATTCGGATGGAATGGAAGAACCACCCTATGTGTTCTGAATTGTAGGGTTCCGTCGTGTTTCACACAACTTTGTTAAAAATGTTCCTCTAAGAAGCTATATCTAAACCACATGATTTCAATAATGGCATGAATGAATTTAATGTACAATGTCAAGAAATCTTCCCTTCAATTTATTGCAAGATGGTGCCAGTTGAGTTTAGTTTTAGATCTCCACGCCACTTTACTGGCCAGTAAGCACAACACTCCCTTGTAATTTATATGGGCCAAACGTTACCTGTGGGCAAATTAAAGCCCTGTCAGTACTCATCAGTTAAGCACCAGTACCATGACGACGGTGCTGTACCCTGCCTGACCGATCCCATGCACGGGCTCCAATTACGATCTCCGAAGGCGGAGGATACTGTCCCCCACGCACTGTTAATACACGGGCACTGTTGATCATCATGCTCGTGATTTTTTTCTCCGCTCTTTCTCTCTCTCTTTTTTAAAAAAATTTGCATTTTAAGAAATTAATTGAAGGTTAATTTAACTAGAATAATTACAAAATTAAAATTTAAAAGAAAAAAATAAAAATGAAAAAAGAGGAGGAAATTGATGGTATTTTAAAATTTTTTTGATGAAATTTTTAATTTAATCCTTATGTACTTTGAGTTATAAAAATTGAGTTATTATTTTCTTTTAAAAATAATTTTGGTTCAAAACATTGGATTGATTTTTGTTTTTAATGATTTTTGGGGTTTTTTGAGATTATGAATTAACATATTATGGTGTGTAGGGTGTCTCATGGATGTTTTAAATAAAAAAATTAAAAAAGTCAGTCTATATAGCAAAAAAAACATCTTATTTGATTTTTCAATAATTAGAATAACTGGAATCTAAAAAGAGATAGGCTATAAATCATCAATTTATTTAAAAAAAAACAAATTGAGGCAATGATAAATCATCTATTTTTTAAAAAAATAAGTCGACCCTAGTGCACTGAATTGCATAAACTAGGCTCGGATGTTTTTTTTGGATCATTGATTTTTTTTTTAAAATTTTTTTATTTCTAATTTTTTTTAATTTTGATTTTTTATTGAATTTTTTTATTTTTCCTTCTTATAGTATTTTTTATAGAATATTATTTAATTTAGTGTACCACTTGCTTTTTTTATTTCTTAATTTGATGTAATTTTTAACTCCTTGAAGTTTTTTTTTTTCAAATCACTTCATCGTTTTTTTAAGGTATTTTTTTATTTGCCTTGGGAAAAAACCTCTTTTGCTATTACATTTTTTTAAATAGAGCTATTTTTTATTTCATTCCTAAATATTAATTTTTTTAAGAAAAAAAATGATGTTTAATATATAAAAGGCTCCTTCACTTGGTTCATGTATAATTAAATAAAAAAAATTGTTAAATTGAACTGGTTTTGTGGCTCCTAATTTAGAGTTTGACAGATAACCTTCCTTGTTATCCTGAGTCTTTTTACTTTTTAATTAAATATTTTTATTTTTATTTTCATTATTTAATTATTATATTTTTGTATTTGCTATATAAAAAAAGCGTAGGTAGACCGACCCTGTAATACTTGTTTCTACTAAAAGCAATTATTCAAGATTATAAAAAACGTGCATTCCATTCAATACAATTAAAACCATCCAGTATTGTCCTTGCAAGCAGTGGAACAACAATAGATCACAGTAAAAGTTGTATCTTTAAATCCCAGCGTACATTATTCATTCATCATAGAAGTGATTTCCTGCTGAAAAATGACAAGATCTGATTCGAGGCTAGTTCAACTTTCTCCTGTTGAGCTCATCAATGAAACCCACTTCAAGGCTAGGTAAAAGCTCCCTGGATATTTCTCCATTAGGACAGTCCTTTGTACTAAACGCCAGAAAACCCACGTCTTTGCCACCGACTATGAATTTTGTGGGCACAGTAATGTTAGCTCTCTGCCGTAGTGCAAGAAGATCCCAGTTACTTGATAAAAAAAAATAATAATAATGCATTCCATGAATATAAATTTTCTAATAGATCTTCTAACAACGGATGGTAGATGGTATGTATTTAATCTGATATAAAAAGAGGAATTACGCTCGGTATGCACAACTTCCCAACCCGAACTTAAACCAGTAAATACATGAAGGATGCTCATGTTAAAAATCATAACTATAGTTGCCAATTCAAAAGGAGTCCGAGTTACCGTGATTATTAATGGTTTATCAAGCTGACTAGGTTACTAAAAACTTAACTAAACTAACAAAATCTCACTGGGTAAAGTATCTTATTTGATCTAACTAGAAATCTAAACAGAATTGTGATGCAGATGAAAACTATAAAAAAACAAACACTGGGAAAACACGTAATTGTAATATGGGCAAAAGAGAATACAAATATGAACCCTAAATTCATTGTTTATAAAATAATAATGATAGAGTATTTATCTCTTCAAGGTTTATAAAAACAGGTTGGAAACTCTATATTAACTACAAAACTAAAAATAAAATACAAAGAAAACTATTACAGAATCCAAAATAACACATGACGTTCAAGAATAACAAAATTGCGAGAACTAGAAGTCTCGATAAGATTTTTAATATCTTAATATTTGATAATATGAGTGATGACATAGAAAAATTTATGTTGCCATAAAAAAAATAATATCTGAAAATATGTATTTTGCAGTTTTAGTTTTGAATCTAAATCTATTTTACTAACTCATAAATATATTGTTAAGTCATTCATATAATATATTTATAAAAAATCATTATTTAATTATACCATATCAACTTGAAATCACCTGTTATTAAAAACCGACTCTATCATGTTAGATTCCAAGGTTTGGATTTAACAAATATGCTTGATCTAGCCAATAATGCATTCATTTTTTCCAAGCCCAATTCACTGGTTCATATTGTAATACGCATGGTTCTGATTTTTACTAGTAATATTACGATCCCACATGTCCATGGCAGCGTAATAATTCAAGGCCCCAGTAAATCCAGTTTCTTGGAAATTCCTAGCATTAAATTGAAGTTCTTCTTCAGCAATCAAAGACGGCAATGAAGGCGGGTCTCAAGAAAATCTATAATTCCAATCACTGGCGGATCTGCTAGAAGATCAGGAGCGTAGGCATGTAGAAACTTCTTCAATACCCACGACAGCGAGTGAATTTTCTGCTCTTCCTGGCTCCTGTAATGCCAGAAGAAAAAAAGGAACGTATTAAGAACCCAGATGGTGTAGCAAAATTTAATTAAAATTCCCCAGAAAAATGGTTTGATCCTCTCTTACCTCAAATTGAAAAATGTAGAACCCTTCTCCAAAAATCCCATCAAATAATTTGGTAGGTTTGATTTCTCTGGAACGTGTCCGGCAGGCGACGCTTAAGTTAACAACTGCCCTCACTCTACCTGGCCTGAAATGGCGAAAGGTGCCACTTCTGCACCCCAGTCATGCCCTTCCACAAAGGACCACAACACAGTACAATGTAGCAGGAAGATTTAAACATATATCAAAAGATTTAAACATATATCAATACATGTGTAGAGATTTAATAAGAAAGATTCGAATTCAGAGAATAAAAAAGAAGAAGAAGAGAGCATATCCTCTTTAATCAAATACCATGATTCAGAGAAGCCATGAATGAGAAGAACAAGAGGTACTTGCCTTTTCTCTGCAACCATGAATGAGAAGAACAAGAGGTACTTGCCCTTTCTCTGCTATGTGCATTGATATTCCATTAGCATGGATCCTTCCATGTTTTATGCCACTCGCGATTTTTTATTTTTATTTTACAATTCCTGTTTTCGTTGCATCATCGATAGATGTGAACACAGACAGTGAATATTCGATGCTAGTGATATATATTTACGCAGAAAATTCAACCCTGCTGACATGTGCAGAAACGCAATCTGAAAATGGACCTGGGCCTTCTTTTTAGGACACATTACTCTATTCAGCCCTTTGCAATAGATAGTAACATTATTTAAGCCTTTGACTCGACAAAAGATGGAAAAAAAAAAAAACAGGGGATTGCCAAGGAATATTCATTAAGGCTATATCTGTTCTCGAAATTTATTTTTTAAATTTATTTTATATTTATTTATTATTAAAAAAATGGTTCAATAAAACATATTTTTTAACCAAAGAAAAATTTAACTTGGTTTTCAGAAAAGTATTTTTCTAAAAAATTTGGACGTAAAACACTTTTCGGAAGTTATAAAAAATTTAGAAATATCATATTATCTGATGATTATATCAAATTTAATTTTTAAATTTTTAATTGTTATATATATTTTATTTTAAATATTTATTTTTTTAATTTCACATCTTAAAATTTAATTTTTATTTTAATATTGGTCCGCATTTTTATAATTTATTATTTATTTTATTTAAAATAATTTATAAAATTATATTTTTTTTCAATTTCATTCTCATTCAACTTTTTAATTTGTAAGATTTGTTCCTCATTATTTTTATAAACTTGAAAAAAATAAAACATTAATAAGTTATTTTCCAGCTCATTTTCTATGAGATAACCAAATACTTAAAAATATTTTACAATTTATTTTCTATTACACTGTCAAATAGCAAAAAACAATTTATTTTTTTAGAATTGAGTTTCTGAAAATTTACTTTAAAAAAAAACCTAATTTCTAGTTAGAAACAAGCATGTTTTTTCCAACTTCTCTTACAAACATAACAAGGCCAAACACAAACCCTTAGTCTTGTTTGAAGTATTTCTAACAAAAAAATAAATAAAAATATCCTGCTTCCATTCGAAACAAGAGAGATTAATTAAAAAAAGGCAAAAATTATCTCCTTTGGACTACTTAATCTAAAAGACCCAACCCAGAGAAGCCCATAAACACTTAATATCCGGCCGTGGATCAGCCCAAAACCCAGCTCCCCACACTAGCTAATTTAACGCCGTCGAGGTTTTTTGAGGATTTAGGTTCGACCATACCAAACTCGCGGTTTCCATCGCCACACACACAAACACAGCACAATGGGAAAGAAGAAGAACACGCATGAAAGTGGCTCCGCTTCCGAGCACAGCTCTAGCACTCTTTTCGTCTCCGGCTTACCTTACTCTTTCACCAACTCTCAGGTACTGATCTTCGCTTAAATTACTACCTAATCCTTTGCTTCAACTCATAATAATCTTGCTGCTTGATGGATTTTTTTTTTTTAATAGCTTGAAGAGACTTTTAGTGATGTCGGTCCAATCAGGCGCTGCTTTATGGTCACGCAAAAGGGTATGAAAATCAGAGCTGCTGCACTTCTACTTTCATTTAATTTTTTTTGTATATTTCTGATTTTTTGTCTGTAATTTGTAATTATTCTTGAATGTTGCTATTATTAATTCATTTTTATTTCTCAGGTTCGACTGAGCACCGTGGATTTGGTTTCGTTCAATTGTAGGTCATACTTATGGATTGTTAATTGAAATAAATCTTATCATTGGTCTATTTTGCTGTTTCTCTCTTTAATTTTGTTGTTGCTGCTGCCGCTGCTGTTATTGATTGGATTCATTTTTAGTGCGCTTAAGGATGATGCTAACCGAGCTATTGAGATTAAGAATGGCTCGTCAGTTGGAGGCCGGAAAATTGCAGTTAAGCATGCTATGCACCGTGCGTCATTAGAACAGCGTCGGGCAAAGGCAGCTCAAGGTCAAGGTCAAGTTCAAGGTCAATATCACCCATTGTTAGTTTTAGACACTTGAATTTATCTTGTTTTGCTATTATAATCAGGTTAGAAAATAATGTATAGAAACAAATTACCTGTTTGTTGTTTACTCAGATGATGCAACGAAGACCATGGATGATAAGGGCAGTGTTGCCTCTAAGCCAGAAAAGCATGTTCTGAATGTGCTGGAATCAGGTTGGGAACTATGGTACATTTTTTCATGCATGTTAAGTTAAATGTTCCTGTTTCAGATTGACATTCTGCGTGTGAGTTTGATATTTTGAAAACAAATTTAGGGAAACCTCGAGAGCCAAGAAAACCAGCAAAACTTGTCACTGATCTAACTGATAAAGAGAATTGTTCTGAAAAGCAGAGGTACTTTATTTTCTTGTTGATATTATGGACATTTTCTCTTGAATTATTTCTAATTCTCTCTTTCGGTGTATCGTTTGTTAAAGTTTTCATAAATACCTAGACTAGTATCATTTTGCAGAAGCAATAGCATCCAAAATTAAGTCAGATAGCTCTCTTAATGTGACTGGACTTTTTCATATTGTTTGCTGTTCCATTAAAGTTTTAGTTATTAACACTGTTGACACTCACCACAGAGGTTCACTATTAACCATTGCTGTTAGAGGGCTCATGCTTCGTGGCGCCCTCAAACAATATCCAATCTCCATTAGTAGCTTAGTATTGTGGTTGTTTGTGCTTGCTTCCCTACCATAATAGCCCTTTGTAGGATTGGATTAATAAAAAACTATATACCTGTATTATGAAGAATGGCGAGACAAGATTCATTGCTGACTTTGAATTGTTGAAATAGATTATGAAGTGTCTGGTTCTTGAGTTATAGCTTTGAAGTTGAAGTAATTACAGCTTTGAACTTACAACCCTGATTTAGGAAGAAAAGGCTAAAGGTAGCAAACGAAGCCAAAAGGCTGGTTGTCTGGACTGAACAACCAGAAAAGAAACAGAGCTATAAAATTCTCAAAATATCAATAACGTTTGTTATTGATGGACTAGCAGCCCTTAGATGCTAAACAGAACCCTGAATAAAAGAAACCCTAGCCCTTAAAAATAAATAAATCTTGGTCACCTAAACTACCATTATAAGTAATACATGAATTCATATAGAAGGAATTATTTGATGATTGTATAGCAGTATTTTTTCTATTCTTCAGAAAACTTCACATGGTTATTTTTTTTCTTTTGATCTATGAAGGGTTGCTAGGACTGTGATATTTGGTGGCCTTCTTAATGATGCTATGGCAGAAGATGTTCATCAGCGAGCCAAAGAGACTGGCACTGTGTGTTCTGTAACTTATCCCCTTCCCAAGGAAGAGCTGAAAAAACATGGTAAGGGTGTTCTTTGTGAATAACTGCTCTTTTGGGTTGTGTAGTGTGATGTGGGAAGCAGAAGCCTTTGCTAATTTAATTAATCTTCAGAATTATTTTCTTTGCTGATTTGTTTTTGGTGTGGCGCATGACCTGTAATGATATCACGATACAAGTTTTCCTGTACATGGGATGCCTTCTGATGATAATTTTGAAATACAATAGACAAAAAACTTGCCTTTATTTGTTTGTATATTCTCTTGCAGTGTGGTAACATTTATATTATCTGTTATGATATTATCACAGTAAGATTGATTTACAAAGTCAGCAAAGTGGAAATCTGTTCGTGCTTTTGACACTATATTATCACAGTATATTCTCTTGCAAGCTGTTTAATGCTTTTGACACTTGTTATGGTCCTCTAATCTGATGGTGTAATCCTTTATTCAATCTTGCTTGTTCATTTGCCTGTAGCTTATGGAGTTAGAGTTTTTATCTTACTCGAATATAGACATCAACTTGATTATTTCCTGTTTGGAAACTGTAAATGTATGGATACAGAAATCTAAGGGATTTTAGTTTGCTCCATTTGATGATAAAAAAGGTTGTTTTGCGTAAAATTTCTAGGCCTCGAACAAGATGGATGCAGATCAGGTGCTTCAGCTGTACTTTTCACAAGTGTCAAAGAAGCACGTTCTTGTGTGGCAATGCTACACCAAAAAGAAATTAAAGGTGGAATTGTTTGGGCACGGCAGCTAGGGGGGGAGGTAATTTCAAATTACTTGCTACATGGAAATGATGGCTTTTATGTACTCTGCTAATATTTCTACTATTGTGTCTGCTTCAAGAATTTTCTCTTTCTGTCAATAAATTTATGTTTTTGCCAGTTGCTATCCCTTGTGGTCTGTGTTTTGTGTAGTTCTATTAATTCCTGCTCAGATGAGTCAAAACAGTTGTAAATTCTATGAGCATCGGAAAATAATAGTTAAAGTTTTCTAATTAACTTTCAATTGTGTTTGTGGGTCAGGGTTGCAAGACACAGAAATGGAAACTTATTATCAGAAATCTTCCTTTCAAGGTTATTCTATTCTCATTTGTTATCATTCATCAATATTTCTGGAGGAGGTTGATTTCTAAACTAGTTTGCTAAACATCAATGCAGGCCAAACCAAATGAGATAAAAGATGTGTTTGAATCAGCGGGCTTTGTTTGGGACGTGTTTGTTCCACATAATTCTGAAACAGGGTATGCAGATACATTATCCATAATCCCTGTTTGTCAATGATTTTTTGTCTCCTAGTATTTTCATGCTAATTTTGCGTTTATGCAGGTTATCAAGGGGTTTTGCTTTTGTCAAGTTCACATGCAAGCAGGATGCAGAAAATGTATTCCTCATGAACCATGCCTTTTCTTACAGGGATTCCATAGCATTTTGAATTTTTGCTTTTTTCCTTCTTCAGGCCATTCAGAAGTTCAATGGGCAAAAGTTTGGCAAAAGACCCATAGCTGTTGACTGGGCTGTTCCAAAAAAGATTTATAGCAGTGGTGCTAATGTGCCTGCTGCTTCGGAAGATGGTAAGTGGCTGTTTAACTGTGCTTCATTTTCTTACAGGGCCTGGACATCTTTTGACATCAAGTCTGTAAGTTTTAGTTAAGCTTTGTAGTGCTTCTACAGGACATCAGAATGAAAAAGACAGTAGCTGTGAGGATTCAGATTATGACGACGACGACAACAATGATACAGATGTTATTGAAAAAAAACAACGGCATGATGGGGTTGTCATTGCCTCACCTGACTCAGATTTATCTGAAAAAGAAGACACGCCAACTGAAGTTGATTTTGAACAGGAAGCAGACATTGCAAGAAAAGTTCTTAGGAATTTGATCACATCATCTTCTAAAGATTCTGCTTCTACTAACATGGATGATGATGTGTTGCCCAAGGGCATTGAGGAGTTGGATACTGTTGTTGTGCCAAGTAAGTTGCCTGGCGAGTCTGAAAATTTATCAGGGAGTCCTCTATCCAGTGGCAAAAGCAAACCATCTACTAAGCACATAGATGGAGAAGATGATTTGCAGAGAACTGTTTTTATTAGCAATCTTCCTTTTGATGTTGAAAGTGGAGAAGTGAAACAACGGTTCTCTGCATTTGGGGAAGTGCTATCCTTTGTCCCTGTCCTTCATCAAGTCACCAAGTAGGGACTCATTTACAGTCTGATATGCTTCTACATTTCCTGATTCTTTACCTCAATTTTTGTAACCTACTTTTTTTCGTGGCAGGCGACCTAGAGGGACTGGTTTTCTCAAGTTTAAAACAGCAGATGGGGCTACTGCTGCAGTTTCAGCTGCTAATGTTGCATCTGGTCTGGGAATTTTTTTGAAAGGTAGGCAACTGGCGGTCTTGAAGGCTTTGGATAAGAAATCAGCGCACGATAAGGAAAAAGAGAAGACCAAAATTGAGGACCGGGACCATCGCAATCTTTACTTGGCAAAGGTTCATCTATCTGTCCTTATTCATGTTTTATTCTTTATATCATCAGTGGTGGTGATTGCTTTCTGATACTGGTTTGACCTTCTTTTTTTTTTACTGGTCCCAAATGCTTAACAGGAAGGCCTTATTCTTGAGGGGACTCCTGCTGCTGAAGGTGTCTCAATTAGTGATATGGCTAAGAGGAACAGGTAAGTTCCTTTCCCTGTTGTTTTGTATTTTCCGCTTTTATTTGTGTTTGGAAATGAAGATGGAAGCAACCATTCCTTGACTTTGGCCAATGTATATTTAAAAGGCTGGCCTTTTATTCCTCATGTCATCTAGTAGTTTATATTTAAAAGGCTGGCGAGCATATGTTCCTCGCTATGTTGGTGTGGATGGTTCTCTCTCAATTCGCACAGCATCCCAGGAAATGAGGATTTATACACGGATAGCGTCTTTGAATTTTGGTTCCTGTCCCCAAAAAGAGGCTGTATCTTTCAGATACATTATGATTTTGTTTTTCAACATTTCTGTTTATTTTTGTGCTACTCTTGTAAAAGCATCTTACCCACATCTCATAATGCTCTATGAACTTTGCAGGTTGCAGGAAGAGAAGATGACCAAGCTGAAATCTCCAAATTTTCATGTCTCTAGGACCAGGCTTGTTGTATACAATTTACCAAAGTCAATGACTGAAAAACAACTGAAGAAGCTTTTCATTGATGCTGTTACCTCACGTGCCACAAAGCAAAATCCTGTGATTCGACAGGTTAGCTACCTGGATTCTTTTGTCCTCGTTCCGTTTCCCTTTGTAAAATCTTGCTTGTATCCTGAGATAACTTCTTTGTTTTCATATTGCTGGTGCAGATGAAGTTTTTAAAGAATGTAAAGAAGGGAAAAGTTGTCACGAAGGACCATTCACGTGGGGTTGCGTTTGTTGAGTTTACGGAGTATCAGCATGCACTGGTGGCCCTGAGGGTTCTTAATAATAATCCTGGTAACACATTTCATTGAATTGTCTTGGTTATCTCCTCTGAATATATTTCCAGAAAATCAATTCCTAACAAAGATGCAACGTTTGCCTCCTTGCAGAAACTTTTGGTCCTGAACATCGCCCAATAGTCTCGTTTGCTCTTGATAATGTTCAAACTTTGAAACTGAGAAAAGCTAAGCTTCAAGTGCAGCAGCAGGAAACCCATAAAGATTTCCAAGATACGCAGGAAAATGACAAGTCGCGGGCTCCAAATGCCATTCCAAGCCAGAAGGAGATGTCCAGAAAAAGGAAATCCAGAGTTGAGAATAGAGCAGTCAAGGACCCAGAATCAAATAGAATGGATGAAGTGAAGAATAAGGATTCCTATAGGACGGGACTTGAGAGAAGACCTGTGCTTCTTTCCTTCGGGAATTGATGCTTTTGAGCTCAGCAAATACTTCCTATTTGCACATTTTCAGTATTTCTTGTTGATCTCACATACATACTTCCGCATCCCATCATACATGTTCGCTAGTATAGATTGATGATGATAGCATGACACGAATTAAATGCTAGGGATGGAGACAAGTCATCACCGTCATTTCATTTCGTTCAAAGAAATAAAATCATAACCATCATTGACTTTATGGAACCCACGTGTGGGCCCCGCAAAACGAATGGTGCTGGTTTTTATTTTATTTTCTTATAACTCCATGGTATCGATTTTGTATTGTGGTAGCGTTATTAAAAATTATTTTTAATATTATTATATTAAAATTATTAACAAGATAATTTAAAAATAAAAAAATTATTTAAAAAAAAAACACGGCGACACAGCTGAAAAAAAAGGCTGTTAATCTTTTTACTCCTCTCACGGATGATGCTTAAAAAATATCTCTTGTAAAACGATTAGAGACAAGTGGTTGATTCTAAGCCATACCCTCGACAGAGAAAGATGCTTCTCCTGCTTTTATTACTTCTCTCGCGATGCCGGACATCTCCTATCCGACTTCCCCTCCCTCCGTTATCATCGAAAACGAAATTTGAAGAACTGGGTATTAATTCAGACTGTTCGGTTTAATCAAATCATCCTTTTTCCTTCAAAATTCTAATCAATTGAATACAAAATAAATTAATTTAACCTGCGGTTGAGTTTTTTTTTTTTACGTATCTTATTTCACTATGCTTTTAGCCTATAATATTTTTAAATTTATGTGGTTTCTTTTGATTTAATTTGATTTTGTTGGATTATTTTTAAAAAAAATCAGAAACCAAAACCGACTTTTAGAAAAAAAGTCTTAACAAAAAATTATCCTAAAGTTTTCAGAAAGCCATTAGATTCAGTTAATTTGAATAATCTCCTTTTACAGTCCTATTTGAAGGGTATCCTTTCTGGAGTCAGGTGACCCCGGGACTTGGAGGACATGAAACGTACCTAGCAGTTAGGTGAGGGCAAAACCCGTCACTCGTGATTCATAAATAAAACATGTACTGGCCTAGTCTTTTTCTCATGCTGCTTGCAATCTTGGGGTCCCCTCCTACTTTTCACTTTAAGGCCATTGACGAACCAGCAACGCTGGCACGGCCATTCACCCTCTGACGGATGAGCCAGCACGGCTAGACCGGTCCTAGCTACTCCTAACCTACTTTATTAGACAACAAAAACAGGTACTCCTCTATCAATCAAGGGTTCATGTGAAAAGATTGGTTCTCCACAAAACTTGCGGACAATCTAATATTTGCGACAAAACTCTATAAAGTCTTCAAACGTGGCAGTGTTACCTTTCAAATTAATAGTGTTTTGCACAGTGTTTTTTAATATATTAAAATCATTTCTAATACCAGCCTCATAAAACAACATAAAAATTAAAAATCTGATTATAAATAAAAAACAATTCTTGGTACATCAAAGCGTGGCTTGGGAGGACAACCCTCCTTCAGTTTGTAAGGGTTAAATTGTGTAATATTTCCTAAAATTTGACAAAAATAAATAATCTTAGAATTAAAAATCCTCAAGGTTCTCATCTTAAACATTATGATTTTTTGAGCGACACTTTTGTTAGGGTTTTACCAGAGAATTTTTTGTATATGTATATATATATAAAAAAAAAACTCTAAAAATCGTCCAAATTCCTCCTTTCCGTGCAATAATAATAACGGCAACAGTTAGGGGCTTTCCTAGCAAATACCTAATGAAACTTTGATAAAAGAGCCACATTTAAAAAATCATATTATTCAGGGTGGAAAATCAAAAGATTTTTAATTCAGAGCGTATTTTACAATTTAGCCATTTGTAAATTCTTAGCTAGTTTCTTAGTATTTGAATATGACATCGTTGATGAAATCCTAAGCTCTGAATCTTAAATTCTCAATTGTTGAAACTGTTTTAAACTCTTGACTCGGATGGTATATAATTGTAAGAAGAAAATAACGTCTTTTGAGTATATTACTTCAAGTGGGATAACTTGTTTAAAGCTCAATTAAAAACAAATATAACAATTAATTATTTTTTAGTGCTTTGAGGTTATTATGGTATGCTAATATCAAAAATAAAAAAAATAAAAAAAATATTATTTTACTATATTTTTAACAAAATAATATTTACAGCACTTCTAAAAATAAATTCTAGGCTGAAAACCAAAAAATAAATATAATGGGATGAATGTTGCCAAATTTGCAAGCATAAGCAGAGAGCATATACATGCTTGATTTGATTTCAAAGGTTCTGGATCTAAAGCAGCTGCCAATTGATCTTCTTGGCGAGAATAAGCAAGAAAAGAAAGAAGAAAAGTACAGATTTTGTGAAGAATATTTTTAAGGATATTTTGAGTTTTAAAAAGGTTATAGTAGTAAATCTATAATATTTTCTGTTTTTTTATCGATTGGATTGATAGATTAGTGACTTAGTATATAGTTTAAAATCAATTTTAAAACCATAAATATAAAAAATGTAATTCATGAAAGGTTAATATTAATAATGTTACGACTCCATTAAAAAAAAAATATTTTAATAATTTCTCCAATAATAAATGGCCACGATTCTTTCAGCCTGCCTGTTTCTAACACCAAACAAATTCTCTTTCAACTTCTTAGTAACATTAATTTCTCTTGTATTTCGGGAGTGTTTAAAATTAGGTTATTTTTTAAAGTAGTTTTTAGTTAAAAATATATTAAAACAATTTTTTTAAAAAAATTGATATTAATATATCAAAATAATTTTTTTAAAAAAAATAATCTAAAATAATAAATTTTAAATTTTTTAAAAATAAATTTTTAACGTAAAAATAAACGGAATCTTAATTGCTAACAACCCAGCTTTTTTTCCTACGGTTAACCGCTGTGTTGTTTACTTAATCATACTACAGACTAGGTGAAATAAAGTTTTATTTGATTTTTTTAATCTTGATTAAAATAACTTGTTTGAGGTTAAACCAGAAAAATAACCGCTGTGTGGGCCCTGCAAAACGAATAGAATGATAGATTAGTGGCTTTGCATTTAGACTTTTTTTGGTAGTTTCCATGTTGTCTCGGCGGTAATCGGATCTTCGAGAGAATGTAAAAAAATGGTTAAGGCAACGCGTAAGCAAGTGGACGGCGCTTCTGGCACGTTCCAGACTCTAAACACCGCTTTTCAGGGCAGTGTTGGAAACCTCTTTTCATGGCGGTGTAGTGCGTGTTGTCGTTATGGCATTTTTCCTCCCCCCCTCTATTCTCTCTCCTCTCACTAAAAAACATGACGTGACTGCATAAATTTAAGGAAGTTTGGTCGCTTCTTGATTGGATTGAATTTAGTTTTTATTATTTTAATTATAATAAATTTAGTTTTAAAATTTTTATTAATTTTATTTTTTATTGTTTGATTTTTATTTTAAATATAATCCTTATTTTTTATTATTATTTTCTTGACTGGGATTTTTTTCAATTTTATTATTTATTATTTGATTTTTTTCCTTTTTATCTTTATTTTTTTCAGTTTTTTTTTATATTTTTTTAGTTGAATTTTTTTTTTCAACTTTATTCCTTATTATTTTGGTTAGTTGAGAATTTAACTTCATTATTTTCTTATAAGTTTATTTTTTATGGTGTAATTTGGTCTCATGACCCGTGTAAGGGGTCTGAGAGGTTGGATCTAGCTGACTTTGTTTTTAAAATTTTTTAAAAAAAATTTATCATTTAATATTAGATTAATTAGAGATTAACATTTAATTTTGTAAATATTTTTTTTCCCATGGGGTTATCCTAATTTTATATTTTGAATCATGAATTTGATGACTCTACCATAATTGATGTGAGTTTCTTTTTTTAAGTTGTTTTTTATTTTTATTTAAATTTTTTCTTACAAAACCATGTTGATTTGAGAATTAAGTTTTATAATTTTTTTTTTATTTTTTTTTCATAATTTTGTTTTGGTATCAAAACTAGGTTATGTGTTTGTCATGCTAACTCAAATATAAAATATTATATTTTATTTTTAAATTTCTCATTTAATATTTTACTTGTAAAGAATTGAGATTCATATTTCCTCTTTCTTTCTACCTTCAAGAATTCATGAAAAAAAAAAGGGATACAATATTAACAAATAGAAAATCATCTTCATAAAGTACTACTCCAACTAAGATAAATATTAGAAATTGTATTTTTATCGTGTCACAAGGTTCCTGGCCAAACTACCTTTTTCTTTCCTCTTCTTTTTTTTTTATTTTTTATTTATAAGGCTCGACGAAGCTCCATGAAACTTAATTAGGTTGAGGCCTAAATAAGCTTTAGCTTTTGTCTAACCGAGCTATTTTTAGCTCTTGTATGTTTACTAATCATGGACAGTGACATACACGGTATTGTTTATAAATAGTATTTTTCATTGGTATTTGTCTAATTTGTTTTTTTAGATATTTTTCAAGCTATATATTATCAAAATTTGAAAAAGACACTATGAGAATTCATCTAAATAATAATAAATAAAAAATATTATACAATAAACAAAAAACACATATTTTTTCTCTATATACAAAAACAAATATTATTTTCATCTTCTTAGATTTTTACCTGCTTATCATCTCACAAAACAAATTCAAGTATTTTCTCACACAGAAAAAAAAACAAACTTGTTTTAAAAATACAACTCAATACCAAGCCCCGTCGACCATTAAATATGATTATATATATTTTTTATGAAGTCTGTCCACCACGTCATCAGTATTATTGTTTATCCAACAAGATCTTCACATTTAATATTTAAACAAAAGACTAGAACAAGCTGAGTTTGAAGAAAAACAAACGAACAAACCATATGATTGGTTTTTACAATTTCAAACCTCAAGATGCAGATGTCGTTAAACGAAGGGACATGTACTTTCAGGAAGATGACGTGGCAATACCAAAGACACCGATCCGAACTTGACGTGGGAAATGAACAGAGAAACAGCAACAGCTGAGGGCTGAGACGGCGATACCAGAGACAGCCATCACAACACATGCCTTTCAGATCGCCTCTTGCCACTTCCCAGGCAAACATTAACATGAAAAACTCCTCCACGCTTCCATGGCGTGAACTCCAAAAATCAAGCTCCATGCGCTCCCTCCTGGCCCACAAATAAATTCACGAAAAATCTATCTACTTTTTTGAGCGAACAGATTTTATCTTATCCCCGAAATAAAAATGGATCAAAAAAATAGATTTTTTTTTTAAATTAAGTGAAAATAATGTTATGATCTTCTTTTTTTGAAAATATATCTAGAGGTTAATTAGTCGTACTTGCTTTCTAAGCATGTAAAATCTTCGTTTTAATGATTTAATTATCAGCATTTTTTCCACGCATCAATATGGTACGTGTGGATCATGTTCCATGCTGAGCATTTTTATATTATAATGTTCAGTATGGCATATGAAACATGTTAATTAATTAACTTATGTTTGCTATGCTATGTTCAAAAGTCCAGTAATTAACAGGTTCACTCCACAATCCCCGTGCTAGATTGTCAACTAAACATCCTAGGACCATATAACCAGTATCCCAGCCGATCCTGTTCAAGAAATTGATGGAACCAGAACCAGGCACTCGATGTGTTTGGTCAGAGTTTTTTCTTAAAGTCAGTAGAAAACCCTTTGGAACAGGCTAGGTTTCACACTGGTTGAACCATAAATCCGGTTCAATCACATTTTACCTTTTATTTTATTTTATACGATAATTTACTACAAATAATAAAATAAAATAGTTATAAATTATGATTTTTTTTTATAGATTCAACACGGCTAAGAACTATAGCATTTATAGTATATAATAGTTATGAAATGGTTTAAAAATAGTCATAACAAAGATGGGAATAGGATGTCTTTGGCAATAAATTTTATGGCATATAAGGAATAATTAAATGTAGAAAAGAGTAATTTTAAGTGAATATATTTTTATTATTTTTGATGTCATGAATTTTATTATCTCTTTTATTTATATTTATATATATATATATTTTTAAAAATGGATCATATAAAGTAATTACTGCAATGTAAATTTTTTCTGTTCCTGGCATGAAATGTATCTAATAATGGAAAGTGTATTTAAATTAAAAATACTTTAAAAATGATTTTTTATTAATATATTAAAATTCTAAAAAATAAAAAAATTAATTTAATATTTTTAAATTAAAAATAATTAAAAAAACAGGTAGAATCTTGCTAACTGAACAAGCTAGAAATTACATAAAAATAAAATTATTAAAACAACAAGGGGACAACCTTTGTGTTTAATATCTTCTCTCTCCTCCACAATCTCTTTCTTGGCTTTGTGCATGACCTTGTTTACACACCACTTCCATGGCCAAAGCTAAAGCACCAAGACGCACTCTGGACTCGTATACTGTTAAACCCATCAACAAAATCGTCAAACGTAATAAAAACTTCGTCCCCCCTTTTGTAATTTTTTCAATTGATTAATATCATCTCAAAAATATGAAATTTATTCTTTCTTTCCTTTCTGTAGCCGGAGATTGCGTGTTGTTGCGACCATCGGATCCGTCGACGCCCTCGTACGTGGCAAAGATTGAGCGGATTGAATCCGACGGTAGAGGAGCCAACGCGAGGGTACATGTACGGTGGTATTACCGCCCGGAGGAATCAATTGGTGGCCGCCGGCAGTTTCATGGCTCAAAGGAGGTTTTTCTCTCCGATCACTATGATATCCAGAGTGCAGACACGATTGAAGGGAAGTGTACGGTTCATAGTTTCAAGAGTTATACCAAGCTTGATGCTGTTGGAAATGATGATTTCTTTTGTCGTTTCGAGTATACTTCGTCTACCGGTGCTTTTATTCCTGATAGAGTTGCCGTGTAAGCCTCAAAATTTCTTTTCTTTTATGTTATAGACTGTGATTATAATTAAAAGCTGATTTTTTGTTTTGATTAAATGTGAATTTGACAGTTTCGTTCGGTGTTTTTTCATTGTTTAGCTTGATTTTTATGCTATTATTCGAGTTTTTTTAGCTTGACTGTGGCTTGATGGATTTGAATTGAACATTTTTTTTTAGGATTAAAATAGCAAGATGGGTTTTGTTTTATGTGGATTATGAATTGGTTTTGATGTGGCAGGTATTGTAAATGTGAGATGCCTTACAATCCTGATGACTTGATGGTTCAATGTGAAATCTGTAGTGATTGGTAAGTTGTGTGCCTTTGAGATGATTTAGTTTGTTTGAAGCCCTTTTGTTCAGGTTTCGTGAACGGGATTTTGTTCTGTGATGCTGTTTGGAATTTGCTTGATGAGATTATTCAATGCCATGATCACGTGGGTGCTTGTAAGTTCTAGCTAGGAGCTCGCGCAGCTTGCTATCCCTAATGTTAAGGAGACTAGAGGAGTTTAATTTTATTCTTCTTTTTGCGAGAAAGAATATGTTTACATTTATAACACCATGTTTCCACTCGTCAGTTGTATTTTCATATTTATCTTCAAACCGAAGGGAATAGGCATTAGATTTTCTGTGCAAATTGTCTCTGGGATTGAAGTAATAGATGGATTACAATTGAATTGGACTACAGTAATGTTCTCTACAGTTATTTTGAAGTTGTTTGGTCTTCTGGTAACTAAAGTATCTTAGATTTTTCTTCCCTTTTCTTTTCCAAATTTCCTCTGGCATGTGATTTTAGAGGCACGCCTTGATCACGAGATTTGTTTCTAACCTTCACTTCATAGGGATTTCTTATATTGAGGTCGAGGCTATGTACATGCTCCTAGTTCAGAAGGAGTTAGCAACAAGGGTATAGAGGCTTATGGTTTAATGCCTTTTCTTATGTTGTTGTCTGTGCATATTCATGGGATGTTTTTACCACAGAGCTGTTTTGCTGCAGACATATACAATTTATGCAAATACATTGGGAAAACAATGCATCATTCAGCATACTACCTTTTGATTCAGGTTTCATCCTGCTTGTATAGAAATGTCTGCAGAGGAAGCTAAAAGACTTGATCACTTCTTCTGTGAGAATTGTTCATCTGAAAGCCAGAAGAAGTTGCAGAATCCGCATAATACCAGACAATCAGATGCAAAGGTATTCCCATTTACTGTAGTGTTGAATGTGTGGCCAGTGGGTAAGCATGTGACATTAAGGCAAACAAGTCAAAAGTCATTTTAGTTTTCCTGATTACTTTTGTGTTGGTATTAATTTAGAGCGAGAAGAACTTTTTATGCTAATTTATGGTGGCTTGCTGTTGTCTTGTGATAATGGGGGTTCTGTAATTCTAACAGAGAAATGGATCCGGGTCAAAGTGGCATGCAAATGGCAGATAACCACGAATACAGGAAGAATGAGTTGACTTTATCATTGATGAATTTTTCCATGGTGTTCATGCAGGTGGAAACGAAGAGACGCCGAAGGTGATAAAAGTAAATAAAATACAGATGCTGATGTATAATGATAGCAGAGGAACCGGAGGTCTCTTTTTAACCATGGTTAGGTTTCAAGCAAACACGGAGGCAAAGATATCTGCATCACAAGCTGTTGTATTTGTGAGTTAATGGCAGAGGGAAACTGGTTTGAAAATCTGTCATGTTTATATGGTTTGAGGATTGGCCACCCTGTCGAGGATGTGTTTGGTTGTTTTTAGTTTTATGTAATCATGTACATGTTTCTCACTCTGGTTTCTTGTTTGTAAACTAGGGCTGTGTATAATCCAAACTATTTTAACTTGTTGGAAAAACAATTAGATACACAGTTGGGGGCAAAAATAGTGAAAGGTATTTGCATAGATGATTCTCGCGGAACTGCTGCAGCATGGTAATTAATGCTTTTTCTAAAATGAATTAAAAGAAAAGATTTAATTTTTTTTTCATGACATTTTAAAGAGGCGTTTAATAAACCTAGTTGTAATATGCTAATGCAAGTAAACTGGGATGTTTTAAATTTCATGTCGAATGAAAGATTAACCAAGGTTGAAGACACTTGTTTCTCCTTTTGACATTCCGAAGGATATCAAAGGCCGGAGGAAAGGAAATCAATGGTTGGTTTTGAAAAAAAATAATCTTCTTATTTTTTTTTTAATATTTTTAGATTTGATGTTAAAAATTAATTTTTAAAAGTGAAAAATATTATCAAACAAAACGGGGTAAAGCTTGTTTAATCCACTCGTTTATAACTATAAATCAATGGTTCTGATAGTGAACTTCTAAGAATCCCACCATGGCTATTAAGGTTTAAAACACTATAAAATCCAATCCAAACTTGTTATCGAACATCCTTTAGCTTGATAAGAAAAACTGTCCAACAGTACCGCCGGGAAAAAGTTCTGATTGCGACTCTGAAAGCGGTAGCCAAGATGAGAAATAACTCAAGTTACCGAGAAAAATAGCATTTTGTCCTACTGTTTCCTACGGTTATTTTAGCGATCACATCATCAAAGAAGAAGCTTCAATCTGAATATAAGAAGAAAGTCCTCGGTGTCGCTTTAGGAGCTCCTAAAAGGCTCCGCTTGTTTCATCATTTTGCCCACAGGAAAATAATATGCAATACTATTTAATACCAACCATGAATTTCGTGTTGTCTTCTTCAATGCCGTATACATGTATATGGTTAACTGCCTGAGTACAAAATTTAATACAAATAGTGATCGCTCGGTTTCACATTGACACAATGAATCGGAGAAATAATGCAACAAATGGTTCGGCAGTTACAAAAGAATGACGACACAAGACAAAGCTGAAGTCTTAGTCCTAGAGTGCGTGAATGAATTGTTTCCGCTTATACCTGTCTTGTCTTTTCTTTCTTCCATATAATAACGATGCCATAAATATCAGACGCAAGCAAATTCTCCCCGTGGTTCCACGCAACATCACCAACTAGAAAGCGATGACCCTGCTGTCAGAAATGCTCATAATGATGAGAACATGAAGGTGAAATAGTGAAACATCAAAACCCAGTATACTAGAGAGATGGACCTGTAGCTTGTTGACGCATGTATTCTTTGGCCGAGTTAGGTTGTAGAAGTTTACGTTTGAATCCTCAATTCCGGCAAGTTCATGTTACAAAAAAAGAGCACTTCAGCAAAGATAAAACAGTTATTACTGTTCCCAGGCCGGGTCAAATTTAAGATTCTACTGTAGGATATGTGAACTCTCAATTCTAGACCAAAACCTTGCAGTTTTAATGGAGCTTTTACGCTTCCCAATCAACACTCCCTTTATTTTGCTTCTCTCTGAAAAATGTAGTGTAAAAAGGTGCAGTGGTTGGAAAAAATGTTGCAGAAAATTTCAGGGGCTGTAGGACAGGTGGGAAAAGAGCATGGAGGCTGTGGGATAGTTGCATAAGACATAGAAGTTGTGTAGAAGGTGACAAAAAACTTACTAATCCAGCAAACGATGACCTACAAATACATTACATTTCATTGCCACAACCAATTTTCCTCCACACACTTGAATATTATGAAATTATCTCTGAAAAAATTGCACAAGTGAACATGTTTTTACATAAGCTTTTTAGATGTATTCTAAGTTCATATGTACCAATAATAAGTGACCAAATATCAGAACCTAAATTGCTGTAATAAAATACAAACCTATATACTATCCTAAATTTCAAGAGATTCTCATTTGAAATTGCTTCAACATGAAAGCTTGCACATAAGAAGTTGGTAACCTCTCAAACTGATTAAGATCGTGAGCAGGATCAATCTATTTTAAATCATCAAATGTGATTAGATGCTTTCTCATATTCAATCAATTATGACAACAATATGAGTGAATACAGCTAGTCAAGTAAATGTGCTATGACGTAGCAAGCAAGCAAGCAAAGGAAAATGATATTTACGGTAATTTCTCTGTTTGCATTGCCAACTGAGGGAAAGTTGTTATTTACCTGCATTGATGGAAACAAAAGAGAGAAAATTCAGACAAAATAATCAGTGGCCAATCAAGTTGTGAAGAATGAACAGAACATATTATTTATGGAACATTTCCAGTTCTGTTCATCATATATGCAAGCACACGTACACACTGAATTTTTTTTTTTTTTTTGGGGGGTGGGGGGGTGGGGGGCGCTTCAGTGCATCCTTACAAGATGAACACGAATACACAACTGTGAAGAGATTCCATATATTACTCGAATGCAAATCCCTTTTGACAACTCCCATACTCTCACAGTTTTATCCATGGATGCTGATGCAATGTACTGATTGTTGGATGAGAAGTTTAAGTCTGGAAATACTTTTCAGACTTAGAAATGTGGCAATGATGGCAATATATATAAACTTGTACTCAATCAATATAATTAGCAGTGTCCTTGGTGGGAATATATTGGATATAGAGACTAAAGATCTGCACTGCTCTCTGCTGACTCCTCTTAGAACATGCAGGAATCACGCTTGCACAAATATACTTAGTTAAATCAGTATTCTCAATCCAAGTGTTAGTTGATGGCGTGTGGAACTAACTATATACAAAATTCAAAGCGACCAGAACTTTAATTCACAAAAGCATGGGAAGAACGCAATACTAGCAGGCAGAATGCAGCTCATTCTTCATACAGTTCTACAAAACAGTCATCCACAAATAAATTTTACTAAGTGGGTTCCACGTAAATAGGTTTGTACTTTTGAATGCTACACAAGATCGTGTTTTCATTTCCATTTCTAGTTGTTTGCCTAAAAGATAATTGGGACTGATTTTCAATCGACCTATCACGCCAATACCATGGTTGCACTCAAGACTAGAGAACAATGTCTCTCCAATACAAACCGAGGACTTGTTGCTTCTAGGCATAGCACTTACAAGTGCCACTACGCTGTCTAAATTATAATAGAATGTGAAGCCTTTGATCATGGAAACATGTGAAAGCACACCCACACAAACAAATACTTAGGACCCAAAATATAAGAAAAAACCATAGAAACAATACCGGTTAATCAAACCTGTGACATCTTTAGAATGGCCCTCTAATTGTTTTATGACTGAAGGTGGTTCTGAGACACTGCACACTGTCAACGTTCCATCTGATAAGGGTGCTTAGTCAGAAATCATGTACCCAAACTTCAAAACAGTAACAGCGGTGCTTAGTCTAAGAAGATAGATTAACCACTCAAACTTCAACATGAATGGACATGAAAGAAGTGTATGTTGGTAACGTAAAGAAATACCAGCAGCTTTGCATTGATCAAAGATGCAATGCATTCCTACAAAAGAATATGCAGGCTCAGCCGCTTGGCAACATAGGGAATCATTATCACTTGCAGTTGAACTGAAACTTGTTCTGCGAGTAGAAGATGGATTGATACTTCGCAGGTTCTGCAAATGAAGTTCATAATTACATGCAAGAATGCCAAATCAAAGATGTAGAGCTTTGCTGTTCTTGTCATGCAAGGAGCCTTAAATTTATAATCAACTAAAAAATCACAAGAAATTAATTAGCTGGTTCTTGGCACAGAATGGAAGCTAAAGTAGAACAAGAAGAGAAGGGGTGGAATAGGCTGGGAGAATACATGATTATTTTTATTTAATTTGTTTTTTGCATTTTTTCCCTCGTAAACCAGAAAAAAGGCTTTACCTCTATTTTACCACGTAACTTTTACTTTCTCTCAGTTAAAAATACTGCTTTCAGCAATTAAATCTAAGGCTGATGAGTTAACATAAAAGTGAAACGCATAAATTGTCGGATCAGACCAATGTCAAATTTCAAACATGTAGAAACAGGCGGTGATAGGGGAAAGTGCATTGCTGGCTTTAAAAGAAGATTTCTCAGTTGTAAGGATTTCAACTATTGGAAACCCATTAAAATTGATGGCAGAAGCACACGGCACAGTCAGAGGTACAAATAAGACTTCTAAGTACCAAAAGAAAATCCAGAAGAAACGGACGCATATCTGGCTGGAAGTCCAGCTGTCCACCTCGAACAAATGGGAGAGTGGACTCGTAGATTGAAGCCATCGTCCACTGATGCATCAACCAGTAAATTACCCTGATGTCAGGATTTTATAAAGAAATAGATTTAAAATAGAAGTCACAACTCACAAAGTTCACGATGATTCTCAAAACAAAGTAAAATAAAATAAAATTAGGAAGTTCAGCAGTTGCCGAAAATCAGCAAAGCCACAGAAAGAACACTACTAACAATATCTCTAGCTCATCTAGATAAATATACTTTTTTAAGTAAGGTAAGTCACATGTCAGTTAGTTGGAATAATTACTAAACCCAATGTTTACAGGTGTGTGAGCATAACTCTGTCAGTATAAGATGTCAGCCAATATACACAACCAGCTGCACTCAAGTAAAGTGTCAGCAACCTGTTTCCCGGAGTGCTTTGGTGGCCTGGCAAACTGTCCCAATTTCTTGGCCTACAAATGTAATTACGAAAGCTCACATACTCTTTTCCATTGCATCTCCAATCCTTCAATAAAAAAACCAGAATGGCATTCACACTAAGAACTTGTGGAATACTTGAAGGTTCTCCTAAATGAAAACGAAAAAAAAAAAACACATGAAAGAAGGAGGCGTCACAGAGGAAACCAGTGGCCATTCTCAAGCATCATTTAACAGGTACAATTACTAAACTAAAATAAAGGTTGCAAACCATTAGAATTTCAAAACAACGCAAAATCATATCATAATAAACTTAAAATTGAAAAATGTTGATAAAACTTCAATCACACGACATCCACGCAACAGCAAACTTCCAATCCAGCTTGAACCAATAGGAAATATTCCAAATCACTCGAATGGCAATTCCTAGGTTGATAAAAAATCAGGAAAGGAACGCACACGCATCTCTACTAGAAAAAATAAGTTCTAAATTGAATTTTGTTCTAAACCTAATCCAATAAGCATCTATAGTAACTTAAAGTGGAAAAGAAAAAAAAAATTTATCTCCGTGCTTGATTAGCAGAACATCTAGTTTAATCACTATTTTTCTCCTAAACTAAGCTCCATCCATAAACAGTTTCTAATCCAAACCACTAGATCTATGAATTAAGCAAATGTGAAACAAAATAATGCAGCATGCATAACAATTAAAACGCGAAATAATAATAATAATAATAATAATAATAATCAGTAGAGAGAAAGCTTACAAAACGGCGATGAACACCGGAGTGGGCTTTTCTAAAGAGAAGGAGACGGCGAATGCCGATGTAATGAGGACCGGAATCGGAAGTAATAGGCTGAAGCAAACAGATGGATGATTCCGGATCTACATTTTTGTTCTTCTTCTTATTCTCTTCGTCATTATTGTTATTATTCTCGTTGTTAGATTCTGTTGAGCCGTTGTTTATTTCTTTGCTGCTGCTGCTGCCATCTATTGGCTCCGCCCTTTTATTGAGATTCCGATGTACTCTTCATTAGAGTAGAAGAATGTGTGAGACAGCGGTACGCACAAGTCGTGTTATTTAGCTGTGGAGAGAGCGCGCGCGCGCTAATCCGCTGAGTTTATATGGAAGGGAAAGCCGTCAATCGGTGCATGCGATGGATTCAAACTGACGGATAGAAATAGAATAGAAGAGATGCAGAGGGAATTTTCAACAAGAGCATTGCTGTACAAAAAAAAAAATGTAAAAAAAATAAAATATTTTAAAATTTTTAAAAATATTTTTAAAATTTAAAAACAAATAAGATGAAATTGGGGGTTTGATATCCTTTGTACAATGGGATATTTATTTTTATTTTAGAAGTTTTTTAAAATAATTTTTTAATTTTTTAATTAATATTTTTTAATATTGATATTAAAAATAAAATTTAAAGATAAAAAATATTATTTTAATATATTTCTTATAAAAAACACTTTATTACGCAATTCCAACCACTTCTTTGTAAATGAATGGAAGGCAGTGTGACTTCTTTGATATAAAAGACTGATTTGTTTAAGTAGAACTATACTCATTTTGGTAAGATTTTACTTGCTTATCCGTAACAAAGCCTCTCTCTTTTTCGTTCCTCTTTTTTTTCAATTAGATTTTGTTCTCTCACTCCGGGTGTGGGAGGGTTCACTGTTTGTTCGGTGATGTTATACCAATTAATTTCTAGAAATGATTTCAATTAAAATACTGATTTTTTTATATATATAAATATATTAAATTGTTGAAAAATACTTCGAAAACATCAATTTAATATTAAAAAAACAATTTGAAAATCACTTGAAAAAACTAACAAAATATCAAACAATGATTTGTCTTTTTTCTTTCTTTCTTTTTATTCTTGTTCTGGTTCTAAACTCATAGCAAATTGTTTTATACTCAGAACAATTATTAGTTTTTATTCTTGAGAAGTGGATTAGCATTAAAATTGGTTTGGAAACGGGACAATAACAGTTCAACAGGATTGCTTCCAGAGACCAGGTCACAGTAATGGGGGGTGGTGAATAAAATTCCATGGCTTCTGATGATTTTAGAGTAGCAATGGTGGTTACCATTCTCAAAAAATAATAATAAAAAAAGTAATCCCAGTAGTTAGCAAAGCATAAGATTGAGAGAACTTGGAAAAGAGAGAATCTGTAGCTGAGATGGACAGAGTACAAGATTGCACTGCGAAAAGGTACGTCTAAATTATTATGATGCGCTTTCCAAAGCACGTATTACACCTTTTGTGTATCTTGCTGTATGATCTGATCTGCAAACAGTTTTTTTTTTTTTGGTCACAGACGCTGACAAAAGGGCCAGTGGAAGATTTGTGGTAGAGGTCCACTTCTCTATATGAGAATTTTATTACAGAAAGTTGATTAAAGATCACCCAGAAATGGAAACGAGAGAAACCAAAAAAACGATGTCATCACGATTCATTATTTGTTGAATCATCAACCGGATGCCAGTATCTGTTGTAGAACCACATGGTGTCAGCTTCCACAGCATATCCATCTTGATTGCGGTGCCAGCCATAGTAAGCATGGGTTCTGTTCTTAATATCGAAAATGGCATGACCAAAACTGGCCTCGCGGTATGCTGAGTACTCTGGTTGCGGATATGTCATGCTGCAGGACAATGAGGCCACGTTATATTTAACTATGCAAGCAAATTGGAAGATATGTATATATATATATATATATATATATATATATATATATATATATATATATATATATATATATATATATATATATATATATATATATATATATCTGCCTCTGGGAATATGAGTTCTTTTATTCAATCCTCTTACTTCGTTGCTAAGCCTTCAAGATTTCCTCCATCGCCAATGGTAATGTAAACTGGGGCAGTTTGATCTCTCACCGGAACGCACTTTCCGTTTACTATGTTGTATGCAATGTTCGATACGCGTTCCTGCAGAGACAGTAAACCATTGGTTTCGGACAGAAGATGTGCCAGAGTTTTACCTTGATGATGACTTCACATTCAAATCTAGAGTCCGATGGTTCTTTCTGATTGATGACATCCACAAATCTCTCCTCAATAATTTGATAGTTCGGAGAATCTCAAGTTAGATTAGTTTAAAGGATTTTCATTTAATGTCATTTGGAAGCAAAACCAAATCCGAAGCCGAACTAAGTAATCTTTACAGAACTTCAAGGTTTTAGAAAAAATTAAAGAAAGAGATCCCCAGGGACTGGAAAGAAAACATCTCAATAGAAACATGAACCTTATCACATGATTTATACGGGACCAGGGACACTTACAGATCGTTCATAGGCATGAACATGACCAGCAAACACAGCATCAACTTTGTACCGAACAAACCATGGCTCGTACATTACTCTCATGGTCTCTCCTTCCATGTAATGATAGTTGTAGCTATTATACCATGGAGAATGCATAAGAACAATCAACCACGGTGTCTCACTCCTATTAACTTTTGGTAGCTCCTGTTCAAGCCATTTGTATTGAGGAGTGTATTTACCTAAAATCACGATGAAAAACAGATGCAATTACGTAAGTACTTGTACACGATTATGGAATTGCATCATTGGAGTAACGAACATTTGAACAAAGCATGGAAATGCAGGAATTATACTTGATGTTTCAAATATCTGAACGCGGGAATCAAAAGGATGACAGTGCAGGAATTATGGTAACCAATTAAACTACATTTGAGCAGTGTACAAATCATGATGTTCCGAGGCTTTTCAGTAAGCAATGAAAAACATAATCATCTTCTAAAATATATCAACAAAAGATAGCAAGGACTGATGTTTGATAGAAACAAGTTCAACGGCATGCACATGCAAATTTTCGTCTCCCGTCATTCGATTAGGAATTTAGAAAGGAGTAAAGCCCTTACCATATGCTGAGTATGAAGACAAGACAATGATGTATGCTGAAGCCCTCTTGATTGAGTACCAAAAAGGAGTGGTGCTTTGCGATGCTCTATAAGGGACATGGTAGCGGTGAGTAAAAGGCTTAAATGGTTTAGTTTCACCCTGCAAAAACAATACATTCTTTTGCTATGAATTCGCTTTTCCAGCAGCTTTTGCGCATCTATCAAACATACATATGGAAAAAAAGTGGACTAGAACCATAGAACACAGAGCATCAAAACTCAAAAACAGCGGCACCAAGTGTAATTTACTTTAAAAATTCAAGGCCAGTGGAAACCACGTCAGTAATTGTAAAACTCGGCATCTAAGTTGAGGTAGCTGCAATAAAATTAGTTTCCAAGCAAGATGATATAGCATCAAGCTTGTAATGGCTTTGAGAAGCAGCCCTGAGAATGGAGATCAACAATTTCTAAGAGAACAAAGTTGAACGGATATGGGAAGCCATGGATTATCAGAAAGGTGTGAGATGAAGCATTTCCACCCTTAGAAAATAAGAATTTAGAAGCTACCATCTCCAGTTGGCCTTCAGATAATTCAGAAACGTTAAAACATATTATTCTTAGTTAGATGACAAACTATGGTGTGAGATGCTTACAATTTCTGGGGCAAAGTCAATCTCATGATTTCCTGCAGTCCATATCCAAGGTTGATAAGCAACACTTCTCTCTACAAACCTTCCCCATGTATCCCATCTCACATTGTCATGATTTGGATAGTTATCGGCATAAGATAGGTCTCCAACAAACAAAACTGCTTGTCCTTTTGTTGGGTTCTTTTCATAGTGAGTAAGTGTTGTGTTTGAATCATAACTCTGACCAAGATCCCCTGCAAATAAATCCCAATAATGAGGACAGAAGCACATGTAAAAACAAGAAAATCCTATCCGCTCAAAGAATCATACACCCTTATAGAAAATACTGGAGCAAACTGCAGGTATGACTGAACCATAATGCCAATAATATAAGCAAACAGAACCCATAGCAAGCCATACATACCTATGAGACCAAATGTATATGGGACATCAGGACCAACTGCAGGAGGAGTGGTAAACCAGAATTTTCTTTCGGTGTGCCCAACCCCCACTACATAGTAATATTTTGTGTTGAACTGCCACGAGAAGTCAAGTAATCAAAATCATACTCTAATTTTGTACAAAAAGGTGTAAATTTTCAATTAGAAGTCCAAATTCCAACTAATTTATTGAGGAATTACAGGTTATCGATGCAAAACAGAACATAAACAGGGAGTGGGAGCTGGGAATGAAGCAAAATGAATACCAAATAGCATATCAGAAAATATAGAAATTCACCTCTAAGTTTCTGATGGTACAGTGGTGAATGTAGCCAGACGTGTAATTGTAGAATTCATAGGTATAAACTTTGCTGCTAGCCTCCTCCTTATGTTCGCTATTTTCACTCCAGTAAATTACTTTTCTTGAACCTGGTTCATTAGCAGTGACCCACGACACTATAACTGCCTTGCCCACATGATCTCCTTGAGTTATATGAACCTGTATCAAAAACCACCCACGTATCAAAAAATTGAGAGTCCATCCACTGTTTCTATCAAGAAAATCAACAAAAGTCTAAGGAGAGTCCCCATGATTCTAAGAAATAAAAAGGAACTAAAGATTTAAAATTCAGTTTTGTATTGAAAAAATGAAAGTTTTTCTTTGTTAACTGACAAACCCCACCTAAAGTATTGATATGAAAAAGAAAATGCAAACTTTTATTCAATCAATATACAATACAACACCATAACTCACTTTTGAAAAGAACAAGAAAAGAAAGAAATAAAAAACACACAAATAACACACCTGTTGAGGAGCATTGTAGCCGGGAGGGACTCTGAAAACATCGCTATCAAGAGGCATATCAACAGTTTTCTCCACTTTCCTAACAAAACTACTGGTTTTGCCTCCATGACACAACACAGGCGCGTTAAAAACCAAGAACAAAACTGCAAACACAACGGATGAAGAAGAAGGAGAAGAGCCCATCTTCTTCAAATTAGAGTTCAACATCTTGTGCTTTCCACACTCCAAACCCTTTGACATATGCGCTTGGATTTATGTAGAAACGCTTGCCTGTTTTTGAGATGCACAGGAGTGTAGCGCTTCCCATATACTACGGGCCGGGAATGTGCTTGGAATCTAATATCTACACCATGTTTTGCCAATAAACAAATTTGAGGGTCAACAAGTCAGGAAGCTTGACAGGGCAAGGGATTGAAATTTATGTATTTATTGATGCAAGAAAATGCGAATATACGAAAAGAGGTAGTTCTTTTCTTTCAAGTAGGATGGAAATATAGTAAAGTTGACCCTGGAGTCACCGACAGGCCGTATCATGATAACGCTTATCTACAAAAGAAACGTCAAACAGGGTTCATTTCGTTGATTCTTCTTCTCGAACCAAGAGTTAAAAAAAAAAAAATAACATAAAAGAGATTTCAAAATAAATGCTCTTTTTCACATTTGGATAAGTTTCCAGGTAATAAAAAAAATGCTTCTTTCAGTTTTCACATTTGGATAAGTTTCCAGGTAATTAATGGTTTTTTTAAAAAAATGCTTCTTTCAAGATCTCATCTGTGTTTAAATATCTTTTTGGTCGAGCTTGTGTGTGTATCAAGTACGAGGTGGGCGATGGAGGAAGCAAATTTACGTTACCATAATGGTACATACAGAGCCATCCGAGTTCTAATGAACACTTTAGCGTTCTACGTAGTTGCTGGTTTTAAAATTGTTTTTGTTAAAATAATATTAAATTGATATTTTTTAAATATTTTGTATTATTTTGATATATTTTTAATTAAAAATATATTATAAAACATGTTACCCAGCACATATTTAGGTAGGTGGGCTGACATTTCTAGTTCTGCAGCATTGTTACTGTTGTTTAAGTAATTAGGACAGCATCAAATTAAGCTGGTGATTTGTCTTGATCTTTTTACAGTGGCAAGTGATTAGTAATGAATCAAAACGATATCTTGCCTGTATGGTTAGTCTTGTTTGAAATCAGAGATATATTCATTAATTCTCTATTTAACATGATTAGTAAGTATTTTTTTTGTTTATAAATATTTAAAAATAATATTTTTTATTTTTGATATCAATACTTTAAAATAAATTAAAAATATAAATAAAATAAAATAAAAGGATTTTTTCAAAAGCATAATCAAATTACAGTGCAAAATACCCCATTTTTTTTTAATTTTCTTTCAAACAAAATCATTTTTATTTTTCGTTTGAATGATAGCAAGCGTGAGAGGGTGCCCCCATAATTTGCTGTTACGGTAGACTGCCTATACTCTGCCCCTCCGTCGAGGCCTGGCTTGGGGAAGGGAGGCAGATGAAATGTATTCCGTGGTAGCTATAAGGTTATATTTTGAATGATTTTTTTTATAAATTGATTTTACTTGATTTTTTAATTATAAATAAATATTTATTTAAATTAAAACTTGTTATAAAATCAAGTTTAAATTTTAATTCAATCAAGAGTTAAAGCTTTTAACTTCAACTTGTTTCTCCAAGAAAATTAACTTGAATTATTTTTATTAAATACATCTCTAACTTAAAATAATTAACCCTTTTTATCATAAATTGCTCATGAAAAAATCTAGACCAAGAAGAGTACTTGAAGTTAAAAGTTTTTCCAAATGCACTCTAAATATATTTTTCAATTCATGAATGGTCAATTTATTATATGGTTACAGAATTTGGGTTTGACCAATCATTGTATCGCGAGAAGAATGCAATCAATCGCGAGGTTTTCGATAATATTTTTTTACTCGAACATAATATAATGTCTATGGTGGATGGACAGGATTATTTCACGAGATGATTAGAAGATATTAAAATAATTTATATAGTAAAGTTCATTAAAGAAGTCACCGAAGGAATCCATCAGTTCCCACAATTGATGACTGTGATGGACTGAATGATTGAAAGGTCCAAAAAAGAAGCTGCATAGATCTTAAAACCATGGCCGTATCAATCTTTCAGCTCCTTTCCTTGCTCAAACTTGGAAGGAAAGTTTTCAAGCGTAACCTCTGTGATTCTGCCAATCCATCAAATGAACCCCTGTAAAAACAAGTTCATCAGATTTACATTTTTATTCATTATATTTCATCAATTGAACCATGAAAGGATTGGATTTTAAACAATTTGTCTACCCATACAGGGTATGTTCATCATGGTGTATTTAAAATCCAGTTTGATTTGGTCGATTTGATGAAATATGACAAATATAACACAAGATTGATGAATTGTTCGTTGAAGGGCCTGGTATGCTGTATTGAAACAAATACAGGGAGTAAACTGTGTTTCTTCATTTTGTTAATCTTATTTCCACTCTCATTTATGGCTTGCAGAACTGAGGGCGTGGGAAGGCACACAGAATGGACAGCCACTATCGTGAATTGGTGAAAGAAGGCGCGCCGGCAGTGGACCAGCATGGCCCGTTGACTCTCTGACGTTAAAACGACTGGACTACGTTCATCAGACTCCATGAATAAGCCATGTATGTGTGTGTGCGTATATATAAAAGTGTAGTTGTGGTAATTTTAAATTAAAAAATAGCCAGTGTTTTACTGCCTTCTTCATGCTTACCTCTTGAGTTTTTTTTTTTAATTTTTTTTTATCATTTAAATGTATTTTTTTGAAAAAATAGCACAAGGTATATAATATATAGATAAATAAGACAGTTTATTATAAAGAGTAGCAGTAGAATTTTCTAAATTGTAAAATGATCTTATATAATTTACAATAAATAGAGACTAGATAAAAAAAATATTAAAGAGCACAACAAAACTTCAATATAATATTATTAATATAGTTAAAAGGCTTTGATAAAATAAATTCGATAACAGTAAAAAAATCATTAATGATAAATAAGAAAAATTATGCATAATATTGAAGGATAAATGTTTGATTACAGTTGTTTTTTTTAATATTTAATTTTTTTTTATTTTTTAAAAATTATTTTTAATATTAATACATTAAAATGATTTAAAAATATAAAAAAAAATCTTAATTTAAAGTAAAATAATAAATAAATAAATTTTAAATTTTTTAAAAAAGATTTTTGAAATACAGTGTTAAACAATGTGCACATTCTTGTATAAGTAACCTATTTTTATATTATTAAATATATTTCATCAGGACTTTTTTAATAATATCGGTAACATCATCTTCAAAACTTACTCCTTTTTCTCCGTGAAGGCAACTTCACTCTTTATGACAGTATCATGTTTATTTACGGGCTATCAACGTTTTAAACGATGAAAGGACAAGCCAATTATTCTTTTCTCTTCCTTCTTCAAACTCTGTTTCTTTGTCGAATGTTTCCCATGTAAGAAACGTAACATGTACAACCGATATATATAAGTTGGTAACTAAGACACATAGTTAAAACCAGCGGTGCACGTTTGGTAAAACCCACCGAATAAACGTAAGCCCTTACCCCTTTTCGGAGAAAACCAAAAATGTTCACAGACTTGTGCAGTAGTGTTGTTTATTGTTCTTCTACTTTTGTGCAGCAGTACTGCGAAACAACGGCGAGCAGCTTCAAGTTGCGGGAGCAAAAGTAAACAAAAATAACTATGACCATACATTATTGTATCATACCAGTACTACGTCCGTACAGGCTCCATTATTAGGAGGGGAGTGAATAAATACAGTTCTGTGACGGGGAGCATGGTAACCTGGAGGAACTTGGAAAGCATGACTATGGAGAGCCATATCAACGCCCTTTTCCACTGTCCTAACGAAACTGCTTGTTTTGCCTCCGCTACACGGCAATGCCGTATCCAAAACCAAAACTAGAAGAAACAATGAAGAAGAAGAGCCCGGTAAACCCATCTTGGTCTGCTTCCCTCGCCTCACCACTTTAATTTATCAGAGCTCAGTAACCATTTTTAGCTCATTAGGCTGCATTTCGGCTGTTCTTAAATATATCTAAGCCCTTTTACTGTAATCTAAACCGTAGGCCCAACAGCCATTTTTAGCTCATTAGGCTGCATTTCTGCTGTTCTTAAATATATCTGAGCCCTTTTACTGTAATCTAAACCGAAGGTCCAACAGCCATACCGAGCTCGGATGTTGATAAAAACTTCGGCCCTGTCACTGTAATCCAGAGTAAGTCCCTAGAGTTCTAAACCCAGTGAACAATTTAAGTAACATGTGATTTGAGTAAAGTATTACTAAATTCCAGCACCATACTCTTCTGATGATGTCTCACGCAGTACATGCAATAGCTCCTCGTATTGTTTCAAGCTTGAGTCTAGAGAAAGTTGCCTTTTTTTACTTTTTATTGTAAACACAGATGTGGGTATTTTATCATAGTTCTTGATCAAGAATTAAACAAGATTAGAGCAGACCAAGGTTGATGTCGAAATACATCAACTAAAACAAATTTTAAAGGTTAATCGATAGTTAATAAGGGTCATCCACTCATCTTATTTCATAATTCAATCAATTTAATCTTGAAGGCCAGTATTTATGAATAATTAAGATTATTTATTTATAAAAAAAAGCTTAACCTTGATTGAAATTAAAATACATCCCAGAATACCTTTATTGTAAAAAACAAAACTCAGCCCAGCCCTCAAGACTTTCCTGGATCAAAAGCCCATTCCCCAACAGGAGACAAACACACGTTTTATACCCAAATATACCCAGGACGTAACTGAAGAAACATAGATTAGCTTCCCACCCAAAAGCCGAACCTACCATTCAATCCAGCACTCCACTTCTGCCACGTGTCCTCCTGCTATTGCCCATCCGCTGCCCATTCTCCTTAAGCAAACTCAAAAGGCAAAACCCACGTTACCGGCTGTTAGCTTAAAGCACCGCCCATCTCCCTCTCTACGTATATTAGTACTATTGTATTTATACCATATGATTTGGAACCAAAACCATGCATGGTCCTTAAAGTCTCAATATATTCCCATGGATCAAAATAATTCAATAATAAAAGAGGTAAAATCAAGAACTGGTCAATCTATCACCGATCTTACTTCTTTAAAAACCTTATTTATTTTTACGTTTAAAAAATATTTTTTAAAATTTTTAATTTTTAATTAATATTTTTTCAATGTTTCTAGATTTTTTAATATACTGATATAAAAAATTTATTTTAATATATTTTTAAATTAAAAATATTTTAAAAATAATCATTATTATACTGTCACACACTCTAAATATTTTAAAAATTAATCATTATCATACTTCTAAACACTTTAAAATCTCAATAAATTAACTACAATTATCTGCCACAGGGCTCACACATTATAAAATTAAAAGTAGAGGGTCGAATTTGATCTAATCTAAAGTAGAGACACGGATATTGATACACGAGGGATGATATAATGAATCCACGTAATCTGTCTCCCAATCCGTATCGGATTAGTATATTATACGTCTAACAATAACCAACAAACAAGTATATTTTTCTATAAAAACCTCTCCTTTGTCTAAGCATCTTCATTACTTGATTTTCAATCCAGCAATGTCTCTCAACCTCTCTCTCTTTCTCATCCTCTCTCTATTCTTTATCTCCGCTATTTCTGCGGAGACATTCAACGGTGATGATTCCCTGATCAGACAAGTAGTGGAAGGTCAGGATGAATCATCATCAAACCTGTTGACCGGAGAGCAGCATCACTTCTCGCTATTCAAGAGAAAATTCAAGAAATCATACCTTTCACAACAAGAGCATGATTACCGGTTTTCGGTATTCAAGTCTAATCTGAGACGCGCGGCGCGTCATCAGAAATTGGACCCAACAGCGAGTCATGGTGTGACTCAGTTCTCCGATTTGACTGCGGCTGAGTTTAGAAAGCAGGTTTTAGGCTTAAGGAAGTTAAGGTTGCCTAAGGATGCGAATAAAGCTCCGATTTTGCCTACTAATGATTTGCCTGAGGATTTTGATTGGAGAGAGAAAGGAGCTGTTGGCCCTGTTAAAAATCAGGTTTTTTTATATATATATTTTTTTCTTATGATTGTTTGTTTGTGGGAAGTGGCTTTCTTTTGTTTTTTCTTGGTCGGGTTGGATCTTCGGTACGCCATCCATGGGCTGGTGTGGAAATTTCTCTCAGAATATTCCATTATTTTTTTTGTATATTTTTTCAGATTTTAGGCGGGGAAGTTACGCGTGTTGGCTTTCATTAATTTTTTAAAACTTCAGCCGTGATTTATGTTTATTGATTTTTTTTTTTGGGGTTAAGGTTATTGATGATGATGTTGATTTTTTGATTTGTTGGGGTCAGGGTTCATGTGGGTCATGCTGGAGTTTTAGCACTACAGGAGCTTTGGAAGGTGCACATTTCCTTGCTACTGGAGAGCTTGTTAGCCTTAGCGAGCAGCAGCTTGTGGATTGCGATCATGAGGTATTTTATCCTAAGGTTTTTTTTTCCCGCAAATTAATTCAAGTTTGTCTTTTTAAAATCATAAATTTGTTTGGTTAGAAGTAACATCTTACTTAAAATTTTTTTAGAAAATCGAGTCAAAATTTTTGGGGAATTAGCTCAATATTTCATTATATGTTAGATCTAATCTATCTCTACAAATTTAATTGCTTTCCAATTTGGCTTTATATTTCTATTTCATCCTCCAATAGATATTTTAGCACTAACCTTACATGAAAAAAATCATTCTAAAATAATTTATTAAAAAAAAATAATGAATTTAAAGGGTCAAATTTGCATAAAAATATCTTCTAGAGTGAAGGTTGGATGATGAACTATGATATAAAGATAAGTTGAAATAACTTAAAGGGTCAAATGCGAGACTAAAACTAAAATATAAGGATATGTTAGAGCTAATTTAACCTATGAATTTTAACTTACATCATATTCTTTCTTTAAAAAAATTGTTTTGAGTCATTTTTTATCAGCTATAATTCTAACTTAAAATCATTTTAACTTATTTTTCTCACAAGTTATTTATAAAAAGCAACTTTTGGATTATGACCAAGTCAAAAGTTATAATTCCGGGAAGAAATTAATGATTTGGCTGCATTCTTTTCATGTTGATAAGTTCATTCAATAACTAGGCATGCGCGGATTCAATATTTTCTAAATCATGCAGTTCCCTGCTGATGGTTCAATGTAATGCAGAGACTGGTTAATTTGTTGACATGATACCTGGAAAGGATTTTCTTTTGATGAGAATTAAAGAAATGGACTGATTGTTTGGATAACATGATGTGGCACACAAGTTGCTGCTCTTAGATATTTGTTGGTTACTTATTCTCTAAGTTAAGCCCGCGCCTGTTTGCAGTGCGATCCAGAGGAACCAGGTTCATGTGACTCTGGGTGCAATGGTGGGCTGATGAATAGTGCCTTTGAGTATACTCTCAAAGCTGGTGGTCTTATGCGTGAGGAAGACTATCCTTACACTGGTATGGATCGCGGTGCTTGCAAATTTGACAAGAACAAGGTTGCTGCTGGAGTGGCCAACTTTAGCGTGGTGTCCCTAGATGAAGATCAAATTGCTGCAAATCTTGTGAAAAACGGTCCCCTTGCAGGTAAATTGACTTGGTTTTCATTGATTGAGCGATCAATTTTCTTTTGACGTCCACAATTCTAGTATTCAGTTGTGGCTAACCCTTGCTGTGTTCTAATTCAGTGGCCATCAATGCTGTGTTCATGCAAACATACATTGGAGGAGTTTCATGCCCTTATATTTGCTCTAGGAGGTTGGATCATGGAGTGTTGCTGGTGGGATATGGCTCAGCTGGCTATGCTCCCGTCAGGATGAAGGAGAAGCCATACTGGATTATCAAGAACTCGTGGGGAGAAAGCTGGGGCGAGAATGGATTCTACAAAATCTGCAGGGGTCGCAATATTTGCGGAGTCGACTCCATGGTCTCAACTGTTGCTGCCGTGCAGACCAACTCCCTCTAGGGATATCCTAACCATGCTCTGCTAAATTGTTGCTTTGTAAATAAGGATTTAACACTACAAGTTATATATGCCCCACTTGAACTATCTGGTTGTCATATTCAACATCCAAAGCATGGGAATGGAGTTTCTTTGGAATTTCCCATGTCTTCGGTTTGCAAGAACAGCTGCCCTATATTATTTATGTCTTCTGGTGCAACCCCACCTTTTTAAGACTTGTAATGTTTCTCTTATTTCATTTACTTTGCTGTCATGTCTCACCAAAGCGCTCACGAACGATCTTACTCGGTGGTAAACTGCGACTAAACAGTTAAATCATCAGATTCGAATGTTCGATGTTCCCAAGGACATTTATAGTCATGTGATGGACACGTCGTGAGGGAAACTTGAATTGAACAGGTGCCATAAACCCTCCAAACGCCTATGGTCGAAGCAAGCATATTAACGACCAGTGACACAATAGAAAATCGGAACTTCTTGTTGTTTGATGAGAAAGGAGCAAACCTGACCAGATTTTTAAAATGTTTTTATTAGAAAATATATTAAAATAATATTTTTTATTTTTAAAATTTTATTTTTAAGACCAGAATTTTAAAATAATAAGAAAAATAATTTAAAACAATTTTTGAAAAGTACAGGGCCACACAAAAAGCAGGTGTACCTCATCCTTGGGTCTGGTGCAGTTCTATTATTAAAATAATCAGCGAAGATGGGGTTGTTGTCAAGCCCACACCAGTAAGATGATAGCAAATAAACTTCTAAACCTAAAAATTACAGTAAAGATTACTTTCAAAAATATTTTTTATTTGAAAAGAAATAAAAATAATATATTTTTAATATCAATAAATCTAAAAAATTCAAAAATATATATATAAAAAATTCAATTATTTTTTAAGAACTCCGCATAAATACAAGCAGATAAGTCGTTTATTGTTTCTATCTTTCCACATACAAATAATAGTGGGAGTTTAAATAAATCAAATAACCTTATTATTATTACACCTGGCCATAGCTGCCATCACATACATAAAGCAACTTTCCTCTAGGAAGTTGCCTGGTACTTTCAATAACAAATAAGGATTGGACAAGCGAAGCGATGCTGCAAAAATAGAAGCTTCCTCAAACTCCCCGCAACATACCCAATGACCTCTCATCATGTTCAAATGAAAAAAACCAAACGAATCCATGCTCATACACAATGGATTCTCGTCTTTGGCAGCAACTATGATTTTATATCACTGCATCATTCATCCTCATCATTTACCAATGCAAATGAAAAGGGATAAAACTTGTAACCATCTCCCTCGTAGAATTTGTTTTGGAATTCCACCCAGTGCAGACGCAAGGCATGTAAGAAAGCACTAAGAGTTTCCATCACCAGCAACACACCAACGGTCGCGAAAATAAAGACAATGGCTCCAATAACAAGGATAAAAATATTGTGGTACCTGTGGCACATGTAAAGCACAATGTTAGCTAGCATCCAATTTGCGTAGAGGTCATTGGTGTGTGGCGTTTATAATTCAAGCAGCATCATCATAAGTATTAACATACCCCCAAGCGAGGAGAAGGACCTTCTCATAGAATACACTAGACAACTCCGAGTGCGCAAGACTGCAAAAAAAGAGGCAGCATAAAGCATGCAATTAGCTCGCTAACTATCAAATAAAGAGAAGATGACCTTTTAGGAAACATGTAGAGAAATGACCACAGAGAACTATGTGGGACCATATCTAAGGGTGGGATTCGACATCAATGAAAGGATAAGAAAGGAAACTTCCGTTTGTGCAGCTTTTATCAAGAGAATATATACAGTGCTCATCAAGAACAATCATGCATACAGAATTACACAAATTTTGAGAAGTACCAGTTACATGTAAGATTGAATTCTAAGTTTGAACTCACATGATGCATAGCTTCATTTCCTAATGGCATACCTGAGGGCCCATAAACGAAGATAGGAAGCTGTGTTTGAGACTGCTCCAAGTACAAACTCAATGGTATGTATCATCTGATGTACGAAAACTTCACTGAATTCAAATTCCTCATGACCATGTGAATCATGGTTTGTCTCCAACTGAAGTGACTCCTCAGTGCTCTGAAGTGGTGTGTACGATTCACCTTGGTGCCTCTGGGAGAAACTTTACAATCAGAACTCATGGAAAGAGAGAAAGAAGTGCAATGCTCTTGTTTATTATTTGCAAGTGTGCATACATACACGCATGCGAGAGAACGGGGTATAATGCTCTTGTTTATTATTTTCATGCATGCATATATATAAACTTTAATCATACAGCTTCGTGTTGCTTCTTCAAAAGGAAAGGCTTTGGGAGCAGCATCCATGGGACCGACACAAGGGCCAATAGTAATAGCACAAGCTGAAAACCGAATATACCAAACGAATTATTAGAATGGCTACATCTCATATACATGAAAGGTAAAGTAAAAGGCAGCAAAAAATATGAGTCAACCTGCACATTTTTTTGCCTAGGAAAAAGCTGATTTTCTCCCAACTCGTCTGTTGGACTAAGGAACATGTATATCATTACATGGTACAAGTCAGCTTGTGAACCAGTGGACCACTTCACAATGATAAGGAGTGATAAATAGCCAAACAAACTGTTTAAAAATATCATTTGGGGGATAAATTGGAACCTGAAAAATGCATGACAAATGTCACCCTTAGAGATACCATTCCATCTTTCAATCCAGCGAAAAAATTGAAATAAATTTAAAGATGATGAAGCAGCCAGCATTCTAGTTTTTCCAAAACTTACCAGATATTCAAACTGTTTTTAAAGTATGTTGCATTGAAATAACTCAATATGATTCCAAGGTTCATTTGAGCAACCCCAAGAAGGATTGACATTTTCATCTTCAGAGAGTTGAGAAAAGGCAGCTCACTGCGGCTGCCATGCCATACAGGATCTACACCAAATGGGTAAGTGGGGCGCACTTTTATCAAACCCTCTGTGGTAGCATCCCTGAAAAACAAATAGTTCGGAGGGGACAGAGAGTCTGAGACTGTCATATAAAAATTGAAAGAGCACACTAAATGAAGATTTTTGTAGCAGGTTTATAAAAGGTTTAAGGCATACACCTGCAAGAAAGATCACGGCATGCATATGCTGATGGAGCAAATAGTTCGAAGGGGACTGAGAAGAATTCATTATAGATAAGGCCAGTGTAAATCGAGAAGAGTGCCATCATCAAAATAACATAACGACCACCAAAGGTCATTTCAGTGATATCTCCAAGTTTCTGATGCACAAAAGACATATAATTATATTAGATGCTAACTGCAGGGAAGCACATAATCTAGAAAAACAAGCACACAAAATGGCAATCTTTAACAAAAAGTCAAATCCTGATAGTAAGAGAAGTCAACATTCAATGACTTTACAGAATAATGCAATAACCAAGCTAGACATAAAAGTTAAAAATGTCTGTCAACCATCAAAGATACCCAGAGATTACCTGGCCAGAAAGTTTCTTTTCCCTGATTATGAAGACTAATGTTGCGAGCAACATGCAAATTCCATGTCCCCAATCACCAAACATGACAGCAAAAAGAAAAGGGAATGTAACTATAGTGTACACACCGGGATTTGCTTCTTGATACCTTGCCACCCTGCCATCATGGAAAACGAAAGCATCTTTTTTGTATTTATTGACTTCATCTGAAGGATGAAAACTGGCAAACAGCAAATGAATGTTTGGGTGCACATGCACACACGCATCTGTGAGTCCATACATGCAAGCAAATGCTATATTTAACAGCAAACTATACACTGGGACTGTACAGAAAATAGGGAGGCATCTTACCTCATCATCTAACCAAATCTAATTATATGTAAAATCGAACCTATTCTATACATTAGGATTGTGCATATGCATCTAGTTTAGATCATTTTACATGACATGGGACAAACACATGTGATGACATTATCAATTTACATGAAGTAAACAGTGGTAGGATGTGCATTACTCCTACCAAAGTTGTTAATGGGCTGGATTTTAGACCTAAGCTCAGTTGATCTGACCTACTTCAGGGTTTATAAACCCTAAATTTCATGTCATTTGATTACTTTTAATCAGTTATTTCCGATGCATTCTTTATAGTTAGGAACGTATTAGAAATTTTATATTATTCAAGGAGTAATTACCAATAGTTACTTCCATGAGTCACCTTTGAGGAGAGAGACAAACATGAAGATGAAAGAAGGTGACACATGAATATCCATCTAGGCTCATATATATATATATATATATATATTCTCTCCCAGTAACATATAGCTAAATTTCATGATTTGAAAATAAGTTTAAGACGAGAAATGGAAAAAAAATCAAAACTAATTAGGCTACTTCAAGAATGGTCTTAGAGTGAAACTCACCCATATGCATCAACAATATCTTGAAAAGCAGAAGTAAACTTGTTTGTCCGAAAATATGTAGGTGGCAACTCTGTTGTATGCAAAACCTGGAAAATTGTTCCAACTTGTGAGTTGGAATCAAATGCAGCTCGCTGCAATGCATCCTGGATCTGCAGACATCAAGTTGAAACTTGTTTTATATGCAATCCAATGCAAGAGTTTCATAGCATGTATTAGTTCAGAAATAGGATTCAAGATCACCCAAAACATTCCCCTTTAAAATTTACTGTCAGGATTTACCTGCTTTGTACCAAAAACAGGACTCCACCCCTCAGCAACAAGACACTTCTTGGTCACATCGAGGCTGAGCATGTTCAAAGTGTGGTAGATGGATTTCTCCTTCCTCACCTTCACCAGTTTGAAAAGATTGTTAATGACAGAACACGATATAAAGATTGAAATTATCATATATGTACAATCAAAATGAGTTATTATAACTTTGAACAGACCAAAGTATTCCACTGCACAAATTGATCACCAATAGTCTGCAACAAATTACTCCTGTGAAACAATCCTGCATCTATAGCAGCCTTCATCTCAGAGATTCTTCCTGAAACCTGAAATTTGAAATGATTAAACATATCATACTCAATCAGAAAAAAAAGGCAAAACTTTTAATGGCAAACGCATAAAGCAATTGAAAACTGTCTGATCACAACAATCTCGATAAATAGACAAAATGAAAGTTTAAGATTTTTGGAGGGAAATGAAAATATCAAGACTTGGAAAGAAGCATGCAGCAGCTTCCTGGATAAACAAAAGATAGAAAAGAAACAAGCAAGCAGC